ACCCCTCTGACCTGAAAATATTTCTAGCGGAGAGCTTGAACACGAAGAGGAGGAGACGTCTGCTCGCCTTGCTCTTCCCCGTGCATCTGCTCACGGCCTGCCGCCTTCTATTTTTAAAAGTTGTTAAATTGTGTTTGGGAGATTTATTCTCACATCTTTTCAGTTATTTGCATTTGCTGTTCTCCTTGCCAACCTGGCAAAGATTTTTTTCTTTTTTTTTAGCTTCTCTATGACTTCATCCTAGTGACCCCTGCTTGCCAGGGATCCCGCATGGTCAGTTGTGCCGCTGGTCTTTTCATGCTGAGCATCACTATTTTTGTGACTTGGACTGCCTTGCCGCTGTGCTGGCCTTGAACAACCTGGACTACTCCATCCTAGAGTGGGCTTTGTATTTCTGCCACATCTTCTCGGGGAGAGGGAGAGAGATTCTCTTTCTGCAAATGTGAGAAGGTGCACCGAAGCACTCGTAGTTCTCGCTGTTGGTGGTCATAAATGGATTGAACTTCCAGTCTTGGTCACAGAAGCAGAAAGCTAGAGGATCCCTTGCTTCAGCCAGTACTTGTGTTTTTTCAGTGCAAAATGCATGTATTCAGATTAGTGTAACTAATAGGCCTGCATGTAACTTCTAAAAAGTCCTTTGACGCTAGAATAAAGCAAAGGTTTTTCGTAATGCATCATCCTTCTGCAGGTGCTACCATCACATCTGGAAAGGCTGTGGGCAGAGAACAGGAGTTTTCTTCTGCCTTTAGAGAAGCTTCTAGGTTTTCTATGCCTCCAGAGAGTGGCACGTCCATGAAGTATTTTGCTTCAGAGGAAATCTGCAGTTTCTGCCCACTGGACTTGCCTTGGGCTGAGGCCAGGAATCACTGCTGAACATCCCATATGATGCGGCACGCTCTGTAGTCACACATCTCGACCCTCGCCTGGGCCTTAGAAGCGGCGCGGGAGCATAAAGGCAGCTAGTACTGGCCTGAAGGACTGAACTGTAGATCTCTTACCTTCTGACTTGATAGCGTGCCTTTTAGCTGGCCTGCCAGAAACGCTGTGCACTTACACCTCTGGCTGGTGGTTGTGCTTGGGCTACTGTAGCCCCAGACCCGGGAAGCAAACTATGAGTCATAACCATGGCATTTGTTTTGTTTCAGGTGCTGCCGGAGTGCTGGTAGGACACCCATTTGACACTGTTAAGGTGGGTTGATTATGAAATACCTTTGTCTCTAGGTGGAAAACTTGAAGTTTTTCTAAGGAGTGGGGGAGGAAAAAAAAATCCCCAGACACACTAGGAGCATAAATCTGTGCTGGAAAGCTTGGAGCAAGCCTCCTCAGCCACTGTTTATAGATTTGCAGTCTCCAGCTCTTCAGAAGTCAAAAAATTCTTTGTATGTATGATTCAACCCAGTAACATGACAAACATTAGCCTAAACTAGAAGTTCATCAGTCCAGTCATGACGTTGTATTTGAAAATACGATATTACATTTAACTTAATTTTGTTCTAAGCTTGCTTCTCTGCAGCTGTTGATCACTAAATGCTAAAACTGCCTCTCCCTGCTCAAACTCAAACCTACTTTGTTGCTAGGTTGAAAATTTGTGTTTTGTTTTCCCCTCAAGCTCTGCTACTTACTCCTCAAGCATTAATTTGTTACACCAGCCAAAGGGTGTAAGTGGATAAAAATCCACAGCATGAAGCTTGTCTGGGGCCTTTTTCCTCCCTTTAAGTATTATTATATATTTTTATAACTTTCCAAGTTAAAATTGATTTTCTGATAGTTGCTTAGCTGTATGTATTATGCATACTAAGGGTAGCTAAGACCAGTTCAAAGATAAGATTTGAAATCTCCTGGAGGGCCCTTCAGCCAGGACTCCCAGGGGTCCAAGCCCATTTTTCAGAATGGGATGACAACTTAAGTCACTTTTGGGCAGCCTTATCCAAAGTCTCGCACTGGAATAATGGAAGAAGGGATGCCAGTATATTCCCTGCTAAATTAATACACCAGATCACTTGACTGCAGCAAACAGCATGCCATCCGCTAGAGCTATATTTGGAATACCTCTGCCTTGCTGAATTTAGATATGCAAAGGGCTGACAGTGTTACCGAGGTCATCGCCATATTCTGTATTCTAGCACATGGTTAATTCAATACGGATTTTCCTAGCTAGCGGATATTAGTCCTTGCCAGTCAAGCGCAAGCTGCTCAAATAGTAAAGACTGTATGTATGTTTCTCAGAGTATGGTAAATTTGACTGTTAAGTAATTGGGTTGAATTCTAGTATATATTTTCAGGAATGGTATTATCCAGCCTTGCACGTTTTTTTTATGGTGGTACAGGGCCAGCTGTCTTTTTCTCTCACCCCCATCCTGCCAAGTTTTACGTGCTTAACTTAAGGTGACGGGTCATTTCACTGAAGCCAGCAAAACTGCTAAAATTCTACGCTCAGACTAAAGTTAAGCACGTGCGGGGGTGTTTTTGGTTTTAAAGTGGAACAGCTTCTAGTGCATGAAACTAAACGTTTAAATGTCTGCAAAACTGGGGCTCCCGTGCTAGTTCTAGCAGACGTATTAATGCAAAATAGATGTGTTGGCTTTAGAAAAAGCATCTTGCTTTACAATAGAGCAAGTAGTTTGTTTCCGGATGACTTTAAATGTTTTATGAATTCCAGGGTGGCACACTATATTTTCATACCCATTAGAAGGTGTTATAAGCATTTATCTATTTTTTGTTAGAGAAAATACTAATGTTTGTGTTACTAGCTGGCATAGTCACCACTGTATGTGGAAAAACTAACACTATAACCAGTCTTTAAAAAAAAAAAAAAAGACATTGCATAACTTGTTGTGTATGTATGCGTGTTAAGAATTAACCCTTTTTATAGTCCTGCAGTGTTTAAAGGGCTAGCTGGTAGTCACCTTAGACTGTAAGTTTTTAATATAACTGAACAATGGGAAACCTGCTTAAAGCCAGAATTTTACTTCTATCTTGGCTTTTAAGCTCTTTTTTTGGCCGGCGATCACGTTTCACAAAGCGGGGAGGGGGATGGTGGGACACACAGGGAGAGATTAAGCTGGGAAGTCACCCTGCGAAACCCACAACTGAGCTGATCTCAGAACTGGCAAACTCCTTATCCCTGGTTTGTTGATGTAATGTATAAAATTGCTTTTTTGCTTTTAACTGCCTTTACTTTCTGAGCTAGGGGCTGTCTTCATTAACAGCAAAAGTGTTACTTTGTTGTAGATGACAGATAAGCCTCATCACGGGAGAGTTACCTAGTAAGTATAGCCCAGGTGAACACTTCTGTTTCTCTCAGTCTTAATTTATTCCCAAATGTATTAGTTCAAATAAAGATCTAAAAGACTTATGAAGCTTTTTTCCTTTTTAGTTTTAAACTGATGTGTCCGTCTTCTACAGCTATGGCATGGAGGGAGCGGGGTTTAAATATCCCTGTTTTTTTAATGTAAAGTCTTATTCTGAACCTTCTTTCTGGTATGCATTTCTGGCTATATACACTGCCACGCACAGTGGCTCTAAAACTGGATCTCAGGCACGCCGTTGTTGAGGTCTTAGCCACTACATATCCTTGGAGGACATTTTCATTGCTCAAGCACTTCTAAATCACTTATTTTGCACATTATTAAATATTTGGACTGTTTTGGGGGTGTGGTGGCTTTTTTTGCTTAGTCTTGAGTACCTTTATGCCAGTTTTTAGTGATGTGAAATTACATGCTTAGTCTTGAGTACCTTTATGCCAGTCTTTAGTGATGTGAAATTACAGTGTGTTACTATTGGACCTAAAACCTTAGTAACAGTGGTTTCAAATAAGAATATCATCCAATGAATAGAGGGTTAAACTTTGCACGTGATTCATCCTTCTTGTAGTTGTACACACTAAATAAGAGCTTGTTGAATATGGCATTAATATCCATAAATAAATAAAGTTTCACATACATTCATTGCCTGGCCTGGCAGTTTGCTAGTGTGGGGGTTACCCCTATGTGGTTGTCACTGTGCTCAAATAAAAGAGCTCTTTTTCATTCCTAGACCTGGAGTGTCAGTGCTTAACTTCTTAACTTTCTAAATATTTTTATTTAGCGGCTTAATTGGTCCATATTTCACAAATTATTTAGACAAAAATAGCGGGAGCTGTATGCCACTAGGAAATTCAACCTATATACAGAACATGACTAATTCTAAACTACTGAAGACAAGTGTATAGAAAAGTAAAAGTAAGAAGGTTCCTGAGCTGCAATTCTCCCAAAGCCCATACGTGTGTAAGTCCCCTGACTTCACAGATGGGGTTTGAAACAATAGCAGTAAACTGTAAATGGAGTAAAACCTTTGTTTGGTGCAATTCTGACAGCTTGTTAAGATTTATGACTTTGCTTGTGGGTCTGCTTCTTGAGCAGTTTTAACAATCTGCCTGCCCCCCAAATGTCACTTTGAGTAACAAAGGATTTATTTTCTTTCAATCCTACCATAAGCCTACTTTTAACCCTAAGAAGTTTTAAAACCCTGTTCCATCTTGGAAGACGTGAGGTTATCTCAGCCTCCCAGTACGGCTAGCAAACACTAACATGTATACTAAAAAGACACTGAAAACTGAAGTTTTGATTTACAGAACATAAAATGACATGTTGTAGGAATATAAAAAATACTGAAACTGTAAATAATTTATTTTTTGCCTCAAAGAAAGCTAACCTGAATATAGAATTCTGACAAACCGTGTCCCCAAATCCTTTTCTAGACCCACATCATCTTACCGGTCTTTCATTGTTGTGGTGGTGTTTATTATTACTTCAGGCAAACAATGATAAAAAGATTTTAAAGTCAGGAATCTTTCATGCAGACCTGATAATCTTTTGCTTTGTTTGGAGTAAGAGTCTTGAAGTTTTTTGCCCCGGAGCTGCAACAGCAGCATCAAGGGGTTGATAAGCATCTTTTCTGAGGAACACTGCAGCCCTCCATGCTGGAGATCGAAGACACATTTCTAAACTTCCCCAATCCAGTGAAACCAATTTATTGAGTTTATTGCAGTGTAGGGCTTTGAGACTTTTTTGTTTTAAGCGTGATGAGAACAAATTAGCAGGAGAAAACAGAATTGGACTTTCCCATTAAAGGTTAAAAAACATCTAGAAAAAGGGCCTGTCTCCTAATGTCACCAGTTACAGTAGCATCTATCTGCCCAGCAGAACATACCATTTTAGTTTGAAACCAATTTATTGAGTTTATTGCAGTGTAGGGCTTTGAGACTTTTTTGTTTTAAGCGTGATGAGAACAAATTAGCAGGAGAAAACAGAATTGGACTTTCCCATTAAAGGTTAAAAAACATCTAGAAAAAGGGCCTGTCTCCTAATGTCACCAGTTACAGTAGCATCTATCTGCCCAGCAGAACATACCATTTTAGTTTTGGAAAAGTTAATTTTACTAACATTAAAGGTTTGAAACAGCCACACCCTCACAAATTGTTCTTTTAACCTGCTGCGCAAACAGAATTGGACTTTCCCATTAAAGGTTAAAAAACATCTAGAAAAAGGGCTGTCTCCTAAATGTCACCAGTTACAGTAGCATCTATCTGCCCAGCAGAACATACCATTTTAGTTTTGGAAAAGTTAATTGATTACTAACATTAAAGGTTTGAAACAGCCACACCCTCACAAATATTTAATTATTAAATAATATAAAAGTTCCCCCCCAGCCACACCCTCACAAATTGTTCTTTTAACCTGCTGAACGCAAACAGACTAAAATTTAAAAGGACAAGTGGCTTTTTATTCCTTTCTTTATGCAAAGTAAGACATCTTAAGAGTCACTTCCCAGCTGAAAAAAATCAGATCTCAGTGAAGGGTCCCAAGTCTGGTAGCCAGAAACACTGTGGGGGGTGGTGTTGAAAGTTTCCATCCTTTTAAAATTATCCTTATTTCATGCTTGACTTGTAAATAAATTTTTATAAAATTCTATCAGGTTTGTACAGATATTCCTTAGTGCGAACAGATGTATTCTTAGCAGCTAAAGAAAGTACTTACTGTAGCCAGTACTGGAAAACTTCAATCTGAAATTCTAGATAACAGCGTAACCTGTTGTACTTCCACATACTGTTTTTCTAATATTCACAAGAAGTTAATGATCCTCCTCCCTTCATGTTTTCACCCCAAAAATTAATTCAAACCACTTACAGAATATTTTTAAATTATTTTGCCACATATGGCATTCCAGTGTCCAGCCTGTGCTCTTGCATATACATTGCTATACAAATCTCCATATATGTACAAGACACTAGTTTACCAATTAGGCTGCTCTTGACATACAAATCAGTATCTTGTACAACTTTTTATAGGTTCGTCTACAAGTTCAAAGTGTAGAGAAACCTCTCTACCGTGGGACCTTCCATTGCTTTCAGTCCATCATAAAGCAAGAATCTGTAAGTACAAAATTAATGCTTTGCATATTTTGTATCTTCATGTATTTTGTATCAGAAGGGTGGGAAAGCTGTTAACCCCCCCCTACAAATATTGAAGATCAAGAGATAAGCACACTCTGAACCTCACCTGACCATAGGGCGGATATTGTAGTCAGAAGTTTGCCAGAAACTTTGTGAAGAAGATCACCAAGTTGGAAGTTGATATTTTGAAGTTAACTTTTTAAATGAGATGAGTTATTTGAATAGCTAATTTTCCAAGAATCCAAGCAATCTGAGCAGTGAGTGAACAAATTGGTGAGGTTTTTTTTCCGCTGAAGCTTTAAGACCATAACTAAAAGGGTGGCTTTAGGCTTTTAGCTACTTAAAAAAATAAAGTACAAAATTTACCAGGAAACTTTTCTCTAGATGGGCTAAGATTATTTTCTGGATGCGCTCAACTATATATTGGTACTGCTAAAAATGTTTAGATGCTTGTGTCCTAGGCAGCGATGAAATTATTACTACGAAGCAAGATGGTACTGATCTTCTGGCCACTGTTAGAAAGTCAGGGCACAAGGGAGAGCCAGAAAGGCCACGTTCTGCACAGTTTCAGGAGGTTATCAACACCGCTGTTAAAAAGAGGTTTTCCTTCCTTCTTCCATTAGGTTTTTGGACTCTATAAAGGTATTGGGTCACCAATGATGGGACTAACCTTCATTAACGCGCTTGTGTTCGGTGTACAAGGAAACACACTTCGTGCTCTTGGAAAAGACACTCCTCTAAACCAGTTCCTTGCAGGGTCAGCGGCAGGGGCTATCCAGTGCGTCATCTGCTGTCCCATGGAGTTAGCTAAGACAAGAATGCAGCTTCAAGGAACAGGTGAATACAAACTAAAAATGAAGAACTACAAAAATTCTCTGGATTGTTTGATCAAAATCTATCGAAAGGAAGGGCTGAGGGGTATCAACAGGGGCATGGTCTCTACATTCATAAGAGAGACTCCAAGCTTTGGCTTTTACTTCCTGACCTATGACTGCATGACCAGGTATTTAGGCTGTGAAGCTGAAGACAGTTACGTTATTCCCAAACTGCTGTTTTCCGGGGGGATGTCAGGAATCGTGTCCTGGCTCTCAACCTATCCCGTGGATGTGATCAAATCCCGCCTTCAAGCCGATGGAGTCGGAGGCGTTACACAATACAACGGCATTTTAGACTGCATCAGAAAGAGTTACCATGAAGAAGGCTGGAGGGTGTTCACAAGAGGTCTTACTTCCACGCTTCTCCGCGCTTTTCCTGTCAACGCAGCTACCTTTGCTACTGTCACTGTGTTCCTAATGTATATGAGGTCAGAAGACAACCTTCGTGAATGTGAACCAGGTCCAGTCATCCAGCAGCCTTCCAGTTTGTGAACCGTATCTGTTCCCCTCATCCAAAGCCGACTGGTTGGGGTTTTTTAAAACGTAAACACTTGGCCTGCACAAGTGGTATAAATGTATGCTATCTGTACGAAGAACTCCTAAATGTGTCGAATTAGGATTTCATCTCATTACTTGTATAAACAGCGTATTGCCTTATTAAGGACTTCGTATCTAGTAGTATCCAAGTAAGACGGGGACCTGCCTTTAGAAAGTACTGTACAGTTACTGTTGTGGCTCCGGAAGAGGATCTGGAGAATGTCGTAGTACCAGAAATCAGGTTTTCTTCCACTTGTGTTCTGAATGACTGAGTTGAATGCAGCAATGTTCTCAGAAAATAAATGCTCTTTTTGTATGTAACAGGAGTAAGTAGAGTCCTCTAAGGTGAAGTAGGGGCAAGAAATTAAATGTTGGAGGCATTTTGCAGGTAACCCTGAACCGTTTAAGACATGGACTAGCATTCAGCTGGCCACGTGTTTTTCTTTTCCTCTGCTTTTATATGTCAGTGGTTTTAGTAGCAACTTTGTTCATACTGGTTTGCCAAAAAAAAAAAAAAAAAAAAAAAAAAAAAAAAAAAAAAAAAAAAAAAAAAAAAAAAAAAAAAAAAAAAAAAAAAAAAAAAAAAAAAAAAAAAAAAAAAAAAAAAAAAAAAAAAAAAAAAAAAAAAAAAAAAAAAAAAAAAAAAAAAAAAAAAAAAAAAAAATTTGTTCCTAAGCTACTCCCTTACCTTTCAGCTTTGAATAAATCTCTTAAGCACAAAGTTAGCATCTGCACTCATATGCACTTGTTCCTTTAAATCTCAAGGCTTGTAGGGATTTAGGGAAACTCAAATCTAGTAAGATTGATGTTATTTGGCTTCACCTCTGTTTCTCGTTTGGTGGGTGCTCGGATTGTATTGACTAGATTCAGCCCAAGTAGACTTTGTTCTCTGAAGTTAATGCAACTTTGTGCCACTTCTCCCAACATGCACCATAGCAGCCGGTGATGTACAGAAGTCAAAGTCCTACCTGTGGTATTGCACAAAATGTTCGTGGGTGCAATGTTAGCTTAGCAGCTTGAAGTACTGTAGAAATATGTACGCGTTTAGAACTGGAGGTTTCATACCTTTCCAGAAAATAGGGGTGTAGGTGTCCGAAATGGATAGTGTTCAATACACTTGCATTATGAATTTAAACAATACTGATGTTTATGCATGTAGTTACAGTGCTACTGGAAGGAAGACTGAAAAGGGGTTTGGAGAATTTTCTTGTTACGTTAATCCGCTGTGATTTCTTTTTAGCAGTCTGTTCAAGAGGGACTGCATTAGTCAAAGAGCTATAAACAGTTATTTAAGATTTGGAATAAGAACTACACATATTTGGCACAAATAGCCAGGAGGAAGGAGTGCGTGTGTGTGAGGAATCTTCCAAACGTACCAAACTAGTTCAGTAAGTACAACTTGTTACACTTTTGGTTGGGACAAGTGCAATACGTGGTTAATTTATATGAATTTTCTAAAGAAACCTGATTTCATAGCATTTTGCACTGTAACAAAATATGCTGGAGAAACCTGTAAAACTGGTATGTCTTTTTATACCTTGGAGGTATGTTGGATGTTTTAGTGCCTGCTTGCACTGAGATTCAAATTGAATGTTAAATCTGTCTACTAAGCTGCATATGCACAACAACTCACAGCAAAGACCATTCACACCTTTGTACAGCAGTCTGTAATTATTGTATATAAAATTGAGGGAATAAATTTTTTAAAAATTTTGACTTCAGTTCTTTAAACTTCCTTATGTTTTACTCGGATGCTTCCTCATGTTAAATCTAGCTTGCAAGAGGGTGGGGTTTCTGACTTTTGCCTGAAGAAACTTGTTCCCCATCTGCCTTCCATGCACCACCAGGAAGGACGGTGCCTTGCTCTGGCTTAGAGTGTATCAATCAGATCGTTGGAAGGAGGGAAGTTCCCTCAGCTTGCTTCTTCAAACCGATCTCTTCACTGAGCACCTCACTTGAAGATATTAATAGGTACTAAGAGAACAATCCGGCTTTTAGAGCCAGAGAGCTGGCAGCACGCTTGGACCCTTCATATTCTGCATTTATTTGGTTTAAGCAGTGCTGATCAGCACCAAGGCTGTACAACTGCAGAAGACAAGTCTAGGGTCCCTGCAGAGTCACATCAGAATCAAGTACCACGTCTGCCAACAGCACTGTTCATACCTGAATCGGAATAATGCTTGGCTCTAAGATGCACAAGTTTAGCAAAATCTTCGTAGGTTGTAGTTTTCTGGTTTTCGACAGTGCAGCTAGTCCAAAGAGCATCAATATTCCAAATAAAAAGCCACACAGGAAAAGCGGGATGATGTGTGTTGTGACCTATGAAAAAGACCTCTCGTTGCTGACGAGAGGTTATTTCAGGTACTGGCTCCACTAATTCATCTTCTTAAAGGGCAGATACACGTGACTGAAAGAAACCCTGTCAAGCAGCAGTTTGCCAGATCAGAAAAGGGAAAGGCCACCAGCTTCAACTAACCATGACTGGGGGCAGTTCCAGTCAAGTACCTTGCGTTCTCTCAGCAGGAGCAACAACGTTGAACTATAGCACAGAAACAAATACTTGGAATAAGCAGCGTCTCCCTAAAAGACAGCAACATCATTAAAACAGAAAGGGCTACACAATGTTTTACTTGCAGTATTTACTAAAACATTCTCTCCAGAAATTCATCCATCTGGAACTTAAAAGAAATAATTAGTAGCAGACACTGGAGGTTACTCAACAAGCCTAAGAGGAGGGTAAAAGCCAGCTTTCAACCTAGTCTGATGTCACTTGCTTGAAATCTGTGTGACTCCTAACTATTAAATCAAGCTACACTATAGCCTCAGCCTTTTTAAACATGATTCAATTCCTTCCTGCTAGATTTTTGAAATGTCAGCCAATTTAGCCAAGTCAGACAGAACTGTATTCTGCCTCCCCAGATCCACCTTCCCACAAGCATCATCAAGCACCATGATACTGGGTAGGAGACGCTCTATTAATACCCCAAGAACTGAAGGGAATAAGAAGGTAAAACTCACTGAAAGCAAAACTCACCTACTATCAAGTCCCCGTGCTCTACTCTTTCTTATGACCCACCCTGCTACTGGAGGGGTCACACCAGTGTTACAGGCTGCAGCCACAAATATGCTCAATTAGGTCAAGAGGGAAAAAAGCACCCAGGTACAACCCTTCCAAGTTTTAAAAAGGTTATTATAGTAAAACTACTGGGGTGAAATTCAGTTCATTTATCATGTCTCCAACCGTAACATGACGGTATTCATATTTTTTTTTGGTCTTCTCTTCCTTGCCTTCCTCCGCACATAGCTTGCTTTTTTTTTTTACAGTTCACACGAAAAAGCAGCAAGACATTCAAGGGATGAAAACCCGTACATTGCAGGTGCAGGACAGGTAGCATACGGGGAAAGTTACTAAGACACAAGTATAAAAAGTTGACTTTGCAGAGAAGAGATGTGTTTGTTCTTTGAAATGAAATGTATTTACTATTATGCTGAAAAACAGGTGTTAACAGCTGTTGTTAGCCAGACTTTTGATCTCTGGATAGTTAAAGAACAACTTACAGCCCAGAAGTGTGCCAAACACCATTAGATTAGCAGAAGGTGCAATTAAACCCCTCTTCTGCCAGAAAAACAGCCAGAGAAAATAGAAGCTTACCCAAGGCAACATGCTGTATCAAACACCACAGCCGCGGAGACAGATGAAGGATCTAAGGGACCATATGGCTCTGGGAGGCACAGCAAGAGAGTAGGGAACCAGAGAACTTGCTGGGCCCAACCTAGTGGAGATAGGCTTCGAAATCATGAGGAAGCAAACCGCTTCGTTCAATGTTCAGGAATTTATGTATGTTCATGGGCAGCAGGGGAGGAAAGCACAGAGGAAAAGAAACCATTTTCATCCTCCCAATGCAACTGTTTTGCAATTTTTGTCCTAGTGTTGTCCTCGCTAATTACAAAAATGGCTATCACTAACAGGAAAAAAAAACTAGTGACATCATATGCACAATAATACATATGATATACAGTAAAAGCTTGTCTACTTAGTTTATTATCAGTTTTAACTGATTTGACCTAGAATGTTATTTTCAGCTATAGAGTTTCATCAATATATAAATTGAAAGCAAGCAAGGCAAGGTCTGCAGTGAAAAATAACACCCTATACATTGATATAATTGGAAGAAAGGCAAGTTCTGATGTCCACAAAACATTCTTCAGGTCTATAAAACTTTACATCTAACACAGTTAAATTGCTTCTTGCCATCATTCACTATTACTTCTACTTTATAATGACTGCTTTTTCTTACTGAAAGAAACCTTCCGTGTTTTTTACTAACAGTAAAATAGAGTTGTACCATTCCAACCATATCCACGTGTCAATCAATAAAACACTAAAATAATAATGAAGCTTGACCTCATGGTCTGCACTGTTTGCTAAATATATCAAAATAGGAAGAACTGTTGCTAGAGTAATTTAACTTGGCTGGACTAAAGTTGGAATGAAAGAAAATTAGTATTCTTTTCCTAGGACCTGATCTACTTGTCTTAAGCAGAGATTTATCCTAGATCAGGTACACTCAAGTGTTGCAATCACCAAGGCCACATCCCTTCTTCCTTGTGCACTGATGTATTTTCACTTAAGGAAGAATCTACAACAGGTCATTTTCAAACAAGCCAGTTTGAAAATAGTTCAGCTTACAAAGTTCAAGCTTTGTAACTGCAATTAAAGGAGGTAAAAGTAAAAATACTCTCTTACCCTTAATTTCCTCCAGGCAGGTACCTGCTTCCCTGCCAGTTCATAACTGAGACTGAACACTTTCATTTCACTCTGGGAAAAATTGAGATGAAATCCCCTATCCCTAACCTACGCAAGAGGAAAGAATAAGAAAAGACAAACAAACAAAAAAACCACGCAAGAGGAAAACCTGAAGACCTGCCATAGTATTATTCCTTACAAACCATTTCCAAACCATAAACATTTGTATGCCCTTTCAAGCTATGGGAGTCATTGGATTCATATAAATCCATTGGAGGTTCAGTCAAAGCACCGGTTAAGACTAGGATTGAAGGATTCTATGTCCAAAGGCCAAATCTTCTGTTTTGCTGAGAAAAAGAGATGTCTTGAAAAATAAGTCAAAACATGAGCTGCACGATGCCCCACGTGTGAGGCAGTCACAAACTTTGCAAAGCCAAAATTGCAACTGGCAACGTTAATGAGGTCCTTGGCAAGCATCTTGCAGCTCTGAAGGACACCTGACCTTATGAGCCCTTAAATCATTCCACAAACGCTAACTAACAAGACAGGGTTTTCTACAGATTTGTCTTGCAACCAGTTGCTGAGATGAGCTTTAGCTGAAGTACATTAGGACATATCCAGTCACCAAGCTTTTTTGTGTATGGATTTTCCACTCTTTGATGAGGAGTCCATCTTATGCCTCAGTCTTCATCTGCTCTATGATTTATCTTAAGAATATACCCGTTACTCACAAACATCCCTCTGAAATACACCTTTACTGCGGGCCTGCTCCAGAGAGAGAACCAGTTTACTTGAGATCTTTGATTCCCTAAAGAGCAGCAATGCAGGACTCTCTGATGCAACATCTGTCCTGCAGTCTCTGCAATGGCCTTGCAAACATTATGAGCAGCAACACAGTGAAGGAAAGTCAAATAGCGAGACCTTAACTGCCCCAGGTGAGCTTAGACTTTATAGGAAGCCACTGCTGGAGCGAAGCATTGGTGTTTTACATGTCTATCAGCTAACCAAAATAGCCGCTTACACTTGAAAGCACATTCATTAACACTACGTCATTAGATTTCCACATTTCTCTTTAAAGATACTTGATATTAATATTGGATGTATGGATCCCCTAAAAGTATATGATCCATGTCACACTCAACAGTTTTTATTTACAGTCTTTATTTTCATTGCCTTGCTGGTGCTTTTTACGAATGCACAAGTATGCTTGGGACTCTCAGAAATCAGCACGAATTGTACTTCTTATTCATCTCCACTGGCGTGTGGGAAACTTGCTCTTTGACACTGGCACGTTCCAAGTCTGTCAGGGTCCACTGAACACCACAGGACACCCTCCATGCACTTGACCTCACAGGGGCACCCTGACACTTTGCTATTCTGTCTGCTGGTCACGCTGTGCAAACTGGTAATTCACTGCCATCTCCTGGCAAACTACTATTCAAGAGTATCTGTACAGACTGAAATAAAGCATTGACATATCAGATGCTACCTAATATCAGCCCGGTTAGAGAGAAATTACACTTAAACCTACAAGAACACATAATATAAAAATCGGTGTCAAGAGAAACATCCAAAAGTCCTGCAAGGACTCTCCGTCCCTTTCCCTCCTGCCCAAAATTGATCAACATTTCTACAGAACTTCGGGCTTGCTCCTGAAGAGAGTTTCCAATTTACACAGGAACCCGGTGAGAACAGCAGCTCACAAGAGGGGTATTACGTCCACACCTGAATATGCAATAGAAGCAATGGTATCCAACCAGCATCCGATCTTAAAGCTTTTCTGTTAGGAAAAAAAAAAATAACAGAAGACTTAAAAACCTGAAACTGGAGTTGTTTAAACAACAGTTGCTGTAAGCGATTTTACTCATTTGCCTACAGCAAAATGGTGGCGTTCTGCTACTTCAGGGGAAGCCAGGACCTGAAAAATTCAGATGAACGCTTCTACAAAATCTGATGTGCTTTCTCCAAAAGAAAATTCAATATTCTCCAGAATACTTCCAAAGAAACCAAGGGATGGAAAAAATTCTAAGCAAAACTGCCTCCATAATATAGGATGATTGTGAGTACACGTAAACTTGCCTAAGCTGGTTTAATTTAGGCAGAGAATGAAACCGAGTAAGGGACCACTGATTAAATTACCTTACAAAATGAAGTGGGTAGCCATCCAGGTGGCATTTAAGCATTGCTGTAAAGCCATCTTCATACTATTAGCTTTTTGCAACTTGAAAGTAGGTCAATTCATATGATCAAAACAAATACTGAGTCTCTCCCATTCTTTTGCTCTGGGACTGCCAAATCAGGCCGATAGAAGAAACCTTCCCACTCTTCCCAAAGAAAGTGTGACTTTTTAACTATTCCATTTACACAGCTATAAGTAATTGTACTAGATCTAAGCCCAACTTTTATTTTTATTCCTGCGTGCAAAATTTACACCCAACACTCAGTTTTGAAATCCACCACAGATTCTGAAGTTTCTGAAAGACTTTTGATTTCTCCATAGCTTTAAGCAATACAGGAACATTAGTGTAATTACTAAGAAGTCAAAGCTTAATGCTGACACAAACATTATTTACTTTCCTCATCTTCTCAAGCCACTGTAACACACACTTAAGAAGGTGCCATACAGATGAAAAACTTCTTATTCCAGTGTCATCACTGTATAACAACTGGATCAACCAACGCCAGTAACAGCTACCACTTGACTCGGACTTCCTAGGCTGATTTGTCTAGCAGCCCTAAAAAAAAATACCAATTCTTCTCCATTTCTTCAAAGCAGTAAGGAACCACATTATCAAGTGGAAACACCTTTTATTGCCACTGCCATTCCTCTTCATCTAGCACTTTGAAGGGATTAGCTTTCTTCAAACATTTTAAAGCCTCAATAATTTTGCTATTTCTGTTAACCGTTGCTTCTTTTGCTTTTTACTTACTGTGGAATTAGCAGAGGGGAAGGATCTCCATCTGCCTTTAAAACTGTATTACTGCTGACAGGCTATGTTGTTAGAATGTGTTTAAATTTGGCTTTGTTGATTGACAATTTGTGACCACCTCTTTGAAAAGAAGATAACTAAAATCAAGTCCTGGCAGAGAGGAAGGAGTTCTCAGTTCCTTTTCACTAAGAATTTATTCACTTAGCATTTCAAATCTGTACCTGGGCTCCTCCTACACCCTTTTCAAGAAAAACAATCTCCAGAAGCAATAGGTGTTTAAGTTCAGTTTGTCCTGTATTTAAAGCAGGGCCTACTGCTACTGGCAGACCACAGACACAGCTGGAAAAGTCTATAGTCAGTTCTACCTTTTAAGAAGTGGTCCGAGTCCGAAAGATACACAGCTACAGAATTTGTCTCCTTCCATTTCGACAGAACCAGATAAGGCAATATGAAACGTAAGAACAAATGAGCAGTAGAACAGGCATGATGAGTAAGCACTTAAATCTTTTGCCAGCTTTAAAACCACTGGCTACATTTCCTCCACCCCTCAGGCTCTCCTCCCCTTACCTGAACTTGCTCACAAATTGGTGGTATAACGCAGGAACTTGTCGATAGCAGGCTGGCAGTGGTGGTTTCAAAGTCAACTCTGTTGCTATTCTCAAAGTCTGTAACTTCTTCACTGAAAATCCTTAAGGAAAACTCTGGAATCAACTGTTATTGCATGTTGTTGCATTAAGCATGATGTTTTAAGAACAAACAAGCCAACAGTACTTCAAAAGCTTAAATAACTTACAGAAGCTGCTCAATGCAAGTATTTATTCATACCCAATATGTAATTAACTAGTTACAAAGCAGGATCGTTCATGCTACTAAGTGTTGCTACTTACACTCAGGAGTGTATTGAATGCTACTGATTTGAGGCCTAGATGAAAATTTTTCCGATCTCTCTCCTTAATTACTACCTAGTAATTAAGGGGTAATACTAGTTTCAGTTCCCAGTTAATCCTCAAATCAGTATTTAACATAAATAATTTAGTCTCAAATGTATGTTCAAGGATGAAGTACTGACACCATCAAGGAATCTCTTTACCTTGCAATTCAATAAAATGGGTACCACTTTATGACATAGGAAAGCAAGCTTCTGCGCAAGCCTAACACCATCATATATACTGTTTGAGAAAAAAAAAATGTAAGGTCAATTAGAACTAGACTGAACTGATTTTATTTCCTTCCAAAAAGAATAGACACTAATTTAACTGTATACAGAATTTAATTTAACTACAACTATACAAGTTTCAGTATATTGTCCTGTTCAAGAACTTATATAAAAAAAATACTGCCAAAATTCTAACGCATACTTTACAATTAAATGCCCCATCTTTCTTTCTACCCCTAATAACCTCAGACTAGAGCTGCAGTGTTCAGATTAACTTGTGTACGGATGAAAATTCCCTTGCTCTCAAGTGTAGTTTCATTATTACCCATGTTTTTTCCACTACCACCAAAACTGGGCTCAAAAGTAAGTTTTACGGTATTAGCAATGAAAATTTTGATGAACCTTGTAAGAACAGAATTCAGAAAAAGATTAACAACAGTTTTTACTATATTAAAATATGTCACATCCCTCTAAAAAATAATACTTATGCATTTCTGTGCATATTCTTATGTTTATTAATCTGTCACATTTTACTAGAGTAGCTGCAAAATTTCTTACTTTGAACACTTGAACAAATGAGTAGTAACCACTTTTAGTTAGACCATCAAAACTCCCATCAAGTTCTCCGAGAACTCTGAGTTCCTCTTTTGAGGTAAAAGGTGCCCAACGAGGTTCCAAGAATTTTCATCTTTATACTCAGTCAAACAAGTTAGCCAAAAGAGAGAGACAATTTTCTTTTTTTCTGGTATGACCACTCAAACCCTACCGTTCCCCCAGTTTCTATTGTTACTGCATTTAAACCTCCAAGGTTCCTTACCTTGACTAAACAAAGGTGCCCATTTAGTTATTTACTGTACTGTTTCACCTAGTTGCTGTCCAGGCACACCGAAAACTCCCCGCTACACTGCCAAGTCTCCAAATCCACCGTTCCAGCTAGTGGAAGTCTAGGTCACTCAGAAACAGAACTACAGTCACCAATTCTGTTTCGGTATACCACCTGACGTGGCATTATGTAATTTCATCACGAATCATTGTAATTGAATGCAAAGTAAAGGAAACTTGAGTTTATTTAGCTTCCAATTTCTGGGAGGTCAAGAGGAACTAGGACTGCTCTGGACAACAAAAGAAAATAGACTGTGCTTACAGATAATTTTCTGCCATATTCTTTCTTTAGGACCACTGTTTTATTGTTGCCCTTTCTATTACATGGGATGTACATATTATCAGGTGTTAATAAAAGGTCAGTGCCTGTACAATACATTCTACAACTGAGCACCACTTTCCGTAACTGAACAGGCAAAGAAATTACACTGAACATCAGCATCTGGCAGTATTTCTCCAAAAAAAGTGACTAAAATGGGTTTAAATTGATTAACACTATTAAATCACATCTAATATTTGATACTACATGATTTCATTACAGCTATACGATACAATTATACAAAATGTGTTAACATCAAAGAATACAACCAAAATTAAGATAGCAAACAAAACCTATATAACTTTTTTTCTTTACAGGAAAATACTTTTGAAGTATGCATGTAACTGCCCATTCTTTTAAAGAAAATCTACCGCAAGCAAGTTATCAACCTCCAGAAAAATCACACATAGCATTACTACGCATATCCCCAAAAAGTGTACAATATGCACACTTGGAAAATACAAAATTAAAAAAATTGTAAGCAACAGGTGAGCTTCATATTTATAAGAATGTGAAAAGAAGTCCAATTTTAGCACTGTTGTATAAAGAATTGTCTTTCTTGATGCAAGTTCATGAACTGACCCCTTCGGCTGGGGCCACACTTTACAAAACACCGTGTTCTTGAAACGGGATTACAGAGCAAGGTAGAGCATCTTAGCAACGTCACCTTAAAGTTTTTTTTGTGGGTTTTTTTTTGCTTTTTATTTACTACTTATCAAAACACGTCCTTTAGGTTTGTAGGGTTCTTTTTTTAAAATTCTTTCCTAGAAACAATATACAAAGGGGAGGCATATTTATTTCCAATTCATACTCCTGTAAGATGCTTTGAGTTCAAGAACTTTCTCCTCCAACTTTCACTGGTTGTTTTTGGCCTTAGCGTGTGTTAAGATGTGAGATTTCAGGTTAGTTGATTGCGCAAACTTCTTATTGCAGCCGTCAAATGGGCAAACATAGGGCCTGTCGCCAGTATGAATTCGCACATGTGTGCGTAAATTGAAGTCCAGTGAAAAACGCTTTCCACATCCTTCAAACGTACACTGTTGAAAGGAAAAGACATACTCCATTAGCTAACAAAAGTAGTACTCATTTCAGTCACTGATTACAACAGTATTCTTTTTTAAATCACTAGACTGCACAAACATGAAGCTAGACGCTGAAGATTATTACAGGTGAAGCTGTGGGCATCCTTTTAAACTGTATTTAAAAAATAAAATGAATACTTCAGGTTGTTTTACCACAGTAGTATATCTATTTTACCACAGTAGTATATCTATTTTCAAAGAGGGAAATAACTTCCAGCTTGCAAACAAATGCTTTCACTAAAAACACCTTCTCTGCATACAAAACACTGTTTTGCTATGCTGTACTAGAAAACAGAAACAGTGTTTCACATCAGAATTTCCCTGTTCTGGTCATAATTTGCAAAGATTTGCTTATTTTACCAGCTTTACTTTTAAGATGGGCTCAGAATACAAGAGGCAGCATGTTTAGCGGTAAATACTTATAATTTAAAACACAGCAGCTCCAGCATACACATTTAAGTGAATGCCTGAGGACTGTAAATCAGGTTTCTAAAATAATTCATTTAAAAAAAAAACCCAATTAAAAATACATATCTTAAACACGTACTGGAGAACACAGATATGCTCAAGACTATGAATACCTGTAAAGAAGATTTATAAGGAGTATCATATGAAGTAGGCAGGGGACCTCTGGTGGCAGAAGCTCACGTGACTTGATACGAATGGAAAGATACCCAGTGACTACCATCATTTTACTGAAAACTGCTTACTACTGCTACTGAAAATTAGTATCATGAGTCAACTGAGCAAACAGCCCCGAGTCTCAGTTGTCCACAAGTGCTAAGTTGAAAAGATGATGAAGAGAAAGAGACATTTTCCTCATTCAGTAGTAACTGCAGGCTTCATTTTTGAAGTGGGTAACTTTATATTATATTTTGGAAGGTATCTCCCATGTACATACAATTTGCTAATTTCTAACAAAGGCCCATGGAAATAGATAAATGATAGCCCAATTAGCTTAAGGGAACTTCCAGTTTTTAAGGTGATCATTCAGTGCCTCATCTGATTTTAGAAAAAAAACCATAGTATCCTCAGAAGTCATATAGGTTACAGTCTACACATGTTTACCAAATAAATGGTGGTACTTAGGTCTGGAGGTTAACAATACCTGAAAGGGTTTCTCTCCGGTATGAACTAGCTGATGTCGCTTTAGTTTTGAGCTCTCCACAAAGGCCTTGCCACATTCTGCACATACGTGTACTCGAGGGCCATGAGTGTGCAGATGCTTCCTCATGGCAGAGTTGTCCCTGAACATCTTTGTGCAGCCCTTAAAAAGAACAGTGAAACTCAATTAGTAGATAAGCTAGTTCTGATAAAGAAGGTTTTATCTGCTACAGTACAAGCATTTAAAATGCTTTTATATCCTGAATACTTTCTTAAAAGTTGGCCCTGCAAAGGAGACCCCTTACATTTATTTTAAAAAAGCAATACCAAGAAAACTGATTATTTGAAAAGCTGGGGTAAAAAAAAACCCAACCCCAACAAAAAAAACCCAAACCCTCTCCTCACTTAGTATTATGAACCACGTGCAGTCAAATGAATAATAGGACAGTCTCATGGAGAAGATGCAGCTCTGATAGAAGCAAATGAATAAACCAAACAAAAGCACTTACAGTTTCAGGGGGGAAAAAACCAAAAGACAGAATGATTGTTCATGGATACCTATGGTATATTCTTCCATGTGCTACATTCTGAGCACTACAGTACTATAATATACGATATAGTCTCTAATATACCACAGATAACTCTCTAGTACCAATTCGTATGTGCACCACTCCATCTCCTAACATTCTGTCCTCTTCCTTCTCATTCCTGAGAAGAAATGGAGCAAGAGGGTTTCCAGCACATAACAGCTTACAGAAACTACCTTGTCCAAACTGGCAGCAGCAGATTGATCACTACCACCTTGAGATATAAAGAGACTGCCACTGCTTTTACAGTTTAAACCTACAAAGTGATACTGGGCAACTGAGTAAGGTAGGAGAATCTCTGAGTTAGTGCCAATGCAACCTAAAAGCAAAAGATACTCACATTAACTCAGGTACAGCATCAGAAGTCTTAATCTGGGGTCCATGCTGCATCGACACAGGAATACTACTTTTGATTCCAGAGTACACTTAAGCCAGCAGTGACCTGGGGCTGTCTTTACCCAATCTTTCTAGACCTTTTTTCACCTTCTAGTGACAATCAATAGACATCTATCACATGTTTTACAAATGTCTTCAAGGTTCAAAATCCCTCATAAAATCCTATTAACAACTGTAAATTCTATCGGTACTCCAAGTGGTGCTGTTTAAACTTACATAAAACTAGTCTACCAACATCACTGTGTTATGAGGCATAAAATTCAACAACAGAACCTGAAGGAACAATCAATTGCTAATCTTAAATTCCACAGGCCTCTTCTTTGGAAATTATTTTTTTCAAAACTAATAACCAGATTTAAACATGCCTTATTTCTTAAAAAAAGGGGGAAATGCCACTTTCAAGAAGAGTTCTCTCTTCAGGCACTAGAATTTCTTTGGCTGATTTAAGAAGCGTTGTGCCACCATTCACTGCACGTAACAGAACTGGCTGGGGCAAAGCAGCACCAAATTAAACATACCATCAACTTTTTTTGCATTTATTTCAAAGTCCCTGCTTGCCTCTGAGAGGAGCAGTTACATCTTCTACAATATCTTTCTTTTTTAAACTGAAGTCAGAAATGCACAAAGCCTAGAAACACTAGAAGAAAGAAAATGGAAGGACAGAATATTCTTTTTTTTTTTTTGCCCTGTTTAGATGAAGTTGAGGCTATGAAAAAGTAAATCAAAGAAATGAAGGCAGCATTCATCAGTATCATAAGGAGTAACTGTTCCTGTATCTCCACATACTATACTATAATAAAAACATGACACTTGTAGAATGTGAAGAATTGGAAATCAATAAGCACAAAGAGGAATCCAGCAAATTCCTTAGACTATGGCTCTCAGAAAGAAGTCTTCTAATCATGCTCTCTAATGCGTACTATTAGTGATCTGCCCTGATTATTTGCTTAGGCTCACACTTATCTAGACCAGAAGTCAGCAAGATTGTATTTGTCTTTTTTAATTACAGACTAAGTCAGCTAACAGGAGCTCTACAAAAGCTGGATAATGCAGTAAAGCTAGATGCTACCAATCTAGGTGACTGGCAACATTTATTCAAGACAGAGGCTTCCCCGCTACCAGTGGATCAGAATCATATCTCCAAGATGCCTTTCTCTCTCTTTCAAGATGATGCACCTTCCAGCTATGTGGAATGTAATTCAAAGTCTTCCAATAATGCTGACTTTGACATCTGCACCATAAATTGCTGATTCCTGATCTAGACTCCAAATCTGTCATAGTTTCCAAGCAGAGGATATATAGATCTTAGGAACGTACTTTGAACAGCTTTCAGAACATTCTTTCAAGTATGTAATCTTGGGTGGCAGGAAATCACAACAGTAAAACCAGCATGTTAGGGACTGTGCATCATGGTTACCAGAAGATTAGGTATGCACTAACCTTAAGACAAGGAATGGGAATAATATATTATTCAGTGAAAGGTTTTTAAGGAAGCCTCTAAAGAATGATAACTAAAATACAGTTAACTGAGTGTAGTCTATTAACAGTAAGACATTTTAGTTATTCATTCTCAAGAGAAAACATCAATGCAAAATTCTGGTCTACAAATTACTACCTACTCAGAAGCTGAGCACTTCACTTACTTTGTGAGGACAAGCTATCGTTCGTGGAGCATCATCTTCTTTAATTTTTCTTGGTTTCATTCTTAAAGATAAAAAAAAATTAGTAGAAAAACATTAGTAGACAGCTCTTCTCCTGTAACTGCCTACACAATGCACACATTTATTTGATAATACTATCAATATGTACATCAGTAGTACTCAGTTTAATATTTTCAAAACCTTCATAATAATATTAGCAGTATAATTTAGCATTTGGAAAGTTCAGCTTTTCCAGAAGGACCTCTCAAATACAGAGTAAGACATTTAATACTACCTTCCTAGTCCTTTGAATGTGTGGAAATAGAGGGATTTTTCCTGACTTATACTAATTGTAATTAGGAGGTTTTGTTTGAAAACTCCATTTTTGTTGTGCCAGTACCCATGTGGCCTATTTATCTTCACTTCCTCTGCATCCCTGCACCAGGACATGAAGGATAGAGCAGCCTCAATCATTCTTCAGTATTTTCACCACACAAGACTTCAGAAGAAAACTCTACAGAAGCAGGGAAGGCAGGCAAATTGTGGAATCTACATAGACAATGTAGACATCCGTTATAACCACAGAAACTGCAATTATTCTTACTTTAAGCTACTGTACACATGGATTCCACTCTTGGCAACTGACAAGCAATCATTTATTTACTCTTGGTTGCTGATAAGGATCTTCACCACTACTTTACCGGCGCCATTAGTCTCCATTGACTACATAAGGAGTCCAGCAAACTACTGCTTGCATGTGTTAGGTGTTTCAAATACAATGAGACTCCCTGTAGACAGTGTTTAAACAGTCCTGCCATACATAACAACCACCTGTTGAATGTCAGAGAAGAGTCAGCTGTGTGGAGACTATTCCAGGGAAGCGCACTGCCCTTTTACCTATCTTTATTTCTCAAACCTGTAGTGCTGTCTTCAAGAACAATCAAAGAGAAATGGCTTATCTCCACCTTATGGTGGAGGGAGGGAGGTGTAAATAAATGCACCTCATGCAGCTGGGGATTCACTTAGATAAGTAATGAGATTTTGCATGTTCCATGCTCCCCTTGCTGTAGAAGGGGAGCTAGTCTGTTTATGTAAGTTCCTGAATGACTTTTCCTGGTAATACAGTACAAGATAGTTCTGTATGATGAGGTAGCTACATATCTGTAACTTAAACAAAAGGTTTTCTGGTGTTCTCTCTAGTCTCAATTAAACAGAGATGAGTGGCTTGAATTTAACAAAAGAATTAGAATTATCAGAATCACTATCTTTAACATTAAGAAGGAGAGGAGTCTGTTGCTATCCAAGACAGTTTTAATCCCCATCAGTTCAGTTCCTGGAAACAGATATGGAAGAACAGGGTTGGAGGAAGATATTTCCAAGTAGTGCATACACGTATTTTTAATAATTGATCTGAGACTGGCTAAACAGCAACTTCTAAACGTACAAAACAAATTCCCAAGAGCAGTAGGGAAAATAAGCTAAAATCTCTCCAATTCAACCATTGGTTCAAAGAAACAAGCATTTGTTTCTTTGCAGGCAGGGTCCAGTCTTCTTTGATACTGTAACGTTTCTATGCATAGGACGTAAATATGCTGTTTCACCTGCCTCCTTCACGTGGACAGATGAGAGAGGACAGGAATGGAAGGCCTTGTGAGGCTAAATTAAGGCAAGAACAGTGAAAAACCTCCCTGAGAATTCCTGAAGACTAGATCCAGGAAAATCTTACAACTGAGAATGGAATCATGTGATGGAGAAGTCTCCTATGGCTCTGTGGGCTATCATTTGTCCCTCAGAAACAATCTGACTCCTCTGTGTATTGCAGATGTAGCACGGCTCAAGTGATCACATAGGGACTAAAGCACATGACAGTTAGCCACTTCACAGGCACAACATTAAAACCAAAGGATCTAGAGGCTGCGTTTGTTCTTTTCTCTAAGCGGACATTTAGGAAACTCCTGCTACTCAGTTAGTCTGGAGATGCTGAGCTATGTACAGTTATAACTGAAGAACACTGCAATCTCCTGCAGGGTTAAAAATACAGATGTGACAAAACTATGGAAGCTGAGAGTATCATATGCAACAATCACCTCATTTACAGATACTAACAGCTCCTAGAAGACGGGTGCGAGGCATCTGTGTTGACAAAGTTCCTCTTGCACCATTGCCAGCAGCATACCTAAAAATTTCATCAATTTAAGGACAGAGACATCCTGAACACAGCAAACTGCATCTGTTCCTGTAGACCAGCCTCTTTATTATCTTAATCTTCCTGAGTTTTCTTTTTCCAAGATTACAGATGAACTTAGATGACCTTATTGATTAAATTTAATTTATATAATCCAATTGGAATACAGAATGATTGTGCTGTGTTTAGTTTACGCAGCCTGAGTGAAGTATTAAATACCTAAATCCAACCAAGTGATTGGGATTAACTGTCTGACTACCCTCTCCAGTGAGGTTCTAGACTGATAGTAGACAAGGTACTGAGGCTATAGGAAAACACACACACACACAAAAGCTTTCTTACAGTAACTCTATAGAAAGCCAAAATGGACACACAGAAGAATGCTTTGACAACACAGGACATGAGAGAACATAGTGCCATGGTTTAATGCCATTAGAGAACAAACACACCTAGGGGACAAAGCTGGTGCCAAAAACACCTCCTTTACTTCTAACACTATCAACTTGTTAAATGTTGGCTGAGTCATTCCCCCAGCCCCAAAAAAACAAAGCAAAATACTCCTAGGCCCAAAATCTGTGTCCATGACATCATCGGAATGAGTAAAAACACCATTGTTCTGAAGTCACCTGTAAAGGGAGAGACTAGACAGAAAAGGAATCACTTAACAGGAGATGTGGTAAACAGCTTTAGTGGGCAGTACTTGCATTCTTTACACTTGGCGTAAGTCCCACTGATCATCGTGTTAAATCCTATTCATAACTCGTGTCTTGCCTCTAGTATTAAGTCAGTCTTTGAGAAGGAAATGAGGCAAGAATGTCATCTGTAACAGGCTGTGAAGCCAAGTGAGAAGGAAAATACCCTGGCCAGTGTAGTCAGGAAGTTTCTAGATCAGTGTAGTCAGGAAGCTTGAGGAACAAATCACAGCAGAACTGGATGGTCAGACATGGGACAGACTGGAGCTTCAACATATACCTTACATTTTTCAGTTCAGTGTCTGAGCAGGCACGTAACATTCTGAGCATCCATTCTGGAATAAGCTGACTTTTTAATTCTCAGGCTTTGTTTCTGAAGTGAGGAGTATCAGCCCAGCAGTGTACTTGAACATAAAAACTTTTAGTCCCTATTGACTACAAAAATGACAACAAAGTTTAGCTAATAAAGGGGCAGATTTTATATCTTTTCATTTCTCCTGGAAGCATGGGAAGTGGGCAACTTAAGCTTAAATGCAGAACAAGACTGTGCATAAGCACAGGTTCCATAGGCAACCAAGCTGTTCAACAAAACAGAAGCAGACACTTCAACAGGAAGAGGCGGCAAACAGTGTCCAGGTTACATCTCAGTGCCACAGGCAGCAAGAAGCTGCTGGGCCCTTCGTACACTTGGATTAAAAGGCATGAGGGCACGTACACCACGGGCACAGCTACGACAGATCATTTTGTCAAAAATGTCATCTTGCTGACAAGGCTGTGGAATCCATATGGACAATCACTCAAAGAAGAATTTAAAGACTTACATATTCAAGTGTATTAGAAAAAAGATTTTGGTCTTACTTTAAAATTAACTTTCTGCAAAAGGAGACCAGACTAGAACCTGGGCTGTTGATCTTAATTACACTGTTGCAGGTAGCTCTTGCTGGTGGTTAGACTTTTGGCTCCCACCCAGTAGAGCATCTCTACCAGCTCCGTCCAAGTTTTCTTAGCCTGAAACATTAATCAAAAACAGAACTCTAACACATACCACTATTTAAAACAACTATACACACACATACATTAATACCTGGGTGGAACTTCTGAAACGGCTGCCTTTGCAGAAAGTCAATTTACATGGCAAGACCAGAATTTTCATTTCTGAAGTGAGTTTATAAGGGCCATGCCTACTAATGGCAACTGCAGACTAGCTAACCGCGAAAAACTAGCAAGTGAACCTTTGGATCAAGGCACTGGGACACTGTGATTAAAGGCCAAATGTGTTAACTTGTGTTGGGTGGGTGGAGGAACAGGAGACAGCAGAAGGAGCAGGAAGGTGTGCAACCAAATAGCTTCACAGAATGAGCTCCATAAAAGCACACTCTCTTATCCATGTATAAAGAAGACTGAGTGAGATCACAGGTATTAAACCACTCAGTTCCTCAAAATAAAGCAAGCAACTCTGTCACTGTGCAGTATCAGAAAGTAACAGCTACCTCCCTCAACTACCCTGCTGAACTGAAAGAACAGTATCTTGACAGAACCAACCCCCACCCCAAACCTCTGTCAATCTCCACAACCTATCGTCTTGGAGGTAGATCCAGTTTTAAAAGTTAGCCACAGAAACAGAGTTAAGGCTAGGAATAAAGGAAATCCATTAGTCAGAAACAATTAGCAGTATAGAATTTCCCCCTTGTTCTGATAGCTCCCTTTTTTGCCACTGTTAAAATTCTGTGTTCTCACATCCTTTCTTCTCCCTCTACACATAAATCTAACCTAAACAGTATTACTCTCTCTCAGGCAACTCCTTTGACACGTCCTAGAGATCTCTGATGACCAGCAGTGATATTCACTTGTGCTGATGACCACATCCCTAAGAATAGTTAGAAGAGGAAATTATTCTCTATCAGTAGTGTCACTGCCACTTCTGACCTGCTCCCTCACTCTGCCATTCCCCTTGTACTGCCCTGCTGAGGCAGAAATAACATGAGTGTCATGGCCCTATGCTGCTGCAAGAATCCATTTGAGCTGAAGAACTCCTGAAACTGGCTAGACTGGCTTTTGGATAAATAGACAAAAGGGGAGTGGCACAAGGTGTCCTAGGAATCTATCTACAACCAAAGAGCCCACAGCCAGTGTCTTAACATGCTTTGGTCACAGTTAGGTAGGAAAATGTCATAAAAAGTTCTCTGTCACTCCAAGGTTCTGGCAAAAATAATTACTAGTTTTGTTGCAGTTATGAAGAATATCATGTGTGTAAACAGAGAGAGTGACCTTCGCAGTGTGGTACAGAGCAAGAGGTTTCCCCTCCCCCAGAAGAACACTTCGGGTAAAGCCATTGTCAGTTTACTGCCCTTTAAGCTTCTCTGCAACAAGAACAAAACCAGTACAAAAGCATATACCTTATAAAGAGGCCTAAGTCATAAATCTAGGTGACCAAAATGCTTTGTCACTTTTAAGAAGGGTGTCCAATTTCAAACTCTAATACAGTTTCCTCACCTTTGTTTTCTATCCATTTTGGGCAGTGGATAGAAAGGAAGGGCAGTCCTTACAAGGGCTCTCCTTCAGAAAAGGTACTAAGAAGAGCAGAAAACAAAGCCATGGAGAGTAAAGTTTTTACCACAAGGACCCATTACTGTGCCAACTTCCCAGCTATAGCATCTTCCCCTCTTACTTCTTAGTTTTACTGATGTCTGTATTCTGCTGTCTTTAGCCAGTTCAGTCATGTATCTGTCTGGAGGGTAGGAGGGAGGGAAAGGGGAATCAGGGATATCCTTTTTAGTGGCTTTGTTTGAGGGACTTTGCCATATGCACCAACTAGAAATATGTCTGTTACTTCCCCAAGCTTTTATTACCAAGCAGTTATGAATTCTTCACAGCTAACTACAGAATTACTTGTAATCAGTTTAGACTTGGATGAAACATTTTATTTCACTTGAAGGGATTGTCAGTGTCCCAGTCAAAGCTATCAAATGGGAACATGGTAATTTATTAGGTTGCATTTCTTTCTGAGCAGATCATTCACAATTCATGTTTCACATTCTGATATGACTGCCTAATAAAAATCCACATATTTTTTTCTTTTTTATTGCATTTTTAAAGTGTACTAGAGAAAATGCATGATTTCTACAACAGAATGAAATAATTTGTAAAAGGCGATAAATTGCCCAACCAGGCATAATTTGTGGTCATTCATCTATGCATTACTGAACATGTCTTAATGTTCTGACACAGCTTGTTTATTCGCAGTGTTTTCAACAGTGTTAGAATGTATAAAAGCCTTTCCATGAAAAAACTGTAAGAGTTCCAGTTAAAGGATCCGGATTCCTGCTACATGACTCAATGACAAATGCACTAAAAGAAGCAGCAAAAGACAGTTGTATCACAAGAGACAATATAACTGCTCACTCTGCTAGTGCCACCTAGCTGCTGAGCAGCAGTGGTGTCCATTGCAGATGCTGAATTACTACTTTTTTTTGGGGTTTTTTTGGTTTTTTTTGTTTTTTTTCCCCAGGGCTGCAGAGTTACAGAGGTTCAAGCATCTGTATCACAAGAGACAATATAACTGCTCACTCTGCTAGTGCCACCTAGCTGCTGAGCAGCAGTGGTGTCCATTGCAGATGCTGAATTACTACTGTTTTTTGGGGTTTTTTTGGTTTTTTTTGTTTTTTTTCCCCAGGGCTGCAGAGTTACAGAGGACTTCAAGCATCAAGTCAACCCCAGCCTTACCTCTCACTAATCAGACCATGATCAGAACTCCAGAACCTTGCCTGAAATCTGTTGCCACTAGAATTCAAGCTTTGCCTGTTTAAACTTAACATCAGAACTTTGTTCCCAAGAATCGATGCAAATGTCTCAGTCAATTTATCCTTAATCAAAATAAGCTGCACGGTTATAAACAGTGGATCTAGCCCGGTTTTGAGTAGCTAATTTCTACAAATGTATAGTGAGATTCTTCGAACTACCTTAATGAAAACAGGAAAGCAACCCAAAATAACTTGCTCTCAACTGCACAAAATACACTTAGCATACAATTTTACTAGCTAGTTTATGCTTCTTTATATGTGGACTGTGCACCATTCTTCTTTCAAGTCATCAAAATACAAATTTGTTACTCAAAACCTTACTCAGAGCACATGAAGCTACTTAAGTTTAAAAGTAACTGTTTCAACTTCATTTGCTGCTCAAAGTTTTCAGAATATAGCTACTGAGAATTTCAAAATTCTGAATTGTAAAGCAACCAGCAATGCTTGAAACTTTCAGAGAACTTTACACTAAACAAACACATTCTTTTAGCATGAACAACTGTATTCTTAGGACCTCCAAACCCAATTCCAGCACATGTAAACACAGTTTTTTCTTCCAGTTTGCCATGCAAGGTTTCTAGTGATACTTCACACAGCAATCTAGATGAACAAGACAATTGATCAGTATAAAAATGGGTTTGTAGGTATCAGTGCTTGAATTCATGTTATTAGCTAAAAGGAGTCCCTTTTATAATGCTTCACTGCAAGAGGACCAAGACCTTAACAAGCAATATTCAAATTCTAATACACCCATATTCTTCAGCCTCAGCTATACACAGTCATTTAAGATCTTACATACAACTAGCAGAGTTTTCTCCCCCCCCCTCCCCCCCGGCAAGAGTAAAAGTTTGACAGTCACCAATTCTGACCAAGAAATCAAAAAAAACTTTCTTAAAACAGAAGATACTTGAAGTTTTCACATATCTACAATTAAGCTATCGGAACAATTCTTCATAGGTTTTGGGCAACTTGGGGACATTGCTAAAGGTGATGTCCCCCCAGGTTGCTCACTCTACCACCATATATTTGTCTTATGACTGAAGTAGATTACATTTTATCTGCTGTACAAAAATATATTAACAGAAAAGAGACTGTACACATAGAACGCTTTCCATCATCTGCTACAAATTCTAGCTCTAGAACTTCCTAGAACATTCTACCATGAATAAAAAAAGTGGTAATTTTAAATTACTGCCAGCTGCCACTATTTTCTCAATAGAAAACTAACTAAAACCCAAAGATTCAGTACATTTTACAGTATTAAGAAATATGCAGACAGATCTGATAGAAGCAATCTGGTCACTCCAAGAAGCCCAAATCCTGGCAACGATTTCAAGTATTCAAACCAATCTGGAGAAAAATATTCAGTACTTGCATGAAAAATACCCTATGAGAAACTATTTAAACTTCCTAACAAAAGACAGCTATTCAGTACTTAAATGTTTAATAGAACCAAAGGTTTCAGCATGTTTTAAAGTAACTGAGAATGCCATTCTAAGCACATGATGAGCAGAAATGTGTAAGTAACATTTTAGAATTAGAAGGCTAGGTACACTCAGAGCATCACTTAAACATTTGCTTTCACACAAAATTGTATTAACCTTTCAGCAGGTCTCGGAGGAAAACACAATCATTTTGATCAACAGTAGTCCAACAAGTAACAACAGTATCAATAGCTAGAACCACCCACCACTTTAGATAAAACCCTGTTTTCAGTTGTTTGTGATGTGTTTTTATACATTTCCAGATCAGATAGCCTGAAGCAGGGAGCAAACCCTGCAAAACTATCTTACTAGAAGCCTTCAAAATCCACAGTTCAATGGCTTTACTGAAAATAATTGCGGGACAAGGCTGTGCTGGCAATCCTCTGGTACAAACACACTGAAGAGTAACAGAACAACCTTCTAAAAAGCAGCGAGATCAAACAGGTGAAACAAGAGTAGATGCGCACACTGGACACCAAGATCCACCTAACCAAGAAGCCAGACCAGAACTTGTCTGAACAGTCCCTGCCATCTAGCAACTAGCTGAAAAACCCAGTGATAAAAAAAAAACAAAACCACCAAACAACCATACTTCTCCCTCTTACGAGCTGACCCAGGAAGTAAGAATAACAACATCTGACCATCCACCTGCTGTTAAGTGTCAGAATTGTGCACCAGGGCTCTGAAGAATACCCAGCTGGTAACAAAATGAAAATGAGTGTAGCTACATACATACATTTTGCTTTCAACATGGGAAAAACTGATTATAGCAGCTGCAAGAAGCTAACAGTTGTGCTCTAGTATTTGGAGACACCAGCATTAACGCTGCCCATGCACTGAGTGGAGGAATATGCCTTTGGTAATTACAAGCACATGCACACAAGGAAGGGGACCAAGTAAATGCTGCAAAGGCAATCCTAATGTCACAGCTTCCAGGTGCCAAAGCAGACTTCTCTGGTGACCTCACGGTTGCCATCTGGTGGCCATCGACTACCCTGAGCACTCAATACCAGAGCCAGGGGCTCTGTGGAGGGAGGGGGGGGAAGAGACGCATGACACTTTCAGTACTCCACAGCAGAACAGAGCTTCACCTCTATTTGAAAGTAAAAGTCACCTTGTAACTCGGGTCAATGTATTGATACGTAGACGAGTGAAAATTCTGATTCACTAGAGGAAAATCCAAGCAGTACAGTTACCAATTGTGAAACTGCAATTATCAGTGGCACTTGAAAGTGCAAGACACATGACTCCATTAAAAAGAAGTTTAAGACCTAGAGCTTAAGTAGTAAGAAGCAGGTGAAAAAGAACAGTAAGTGGCTTTACAAACCAAATATTGTAGTCTAGCTTTCTTGTACTGAACAACCTGAATGGAGCATTTCACTTATCAGATCCTTTGGTGCTGAAGAATCTAAGACTACTCACATGAAAGATATATTCTGTCATGTCAAAGATACAGTCTATCAATGTATCTAGGTCCTGTCTTACCCAACAAGAACTAAAGACCAGAAGTCATTGAACAAGTTACTGCTGAATATAAAACCCAGTTATTTTAACACGGTATCAGCTACTCTGTTCTGAATTAAGTCCCTTGTTTCCGAAGATGATTAAATGGAACAATAAGCCATACTAAATCTATCATTTATTTTGCCTAACAGTTTCGTAATTAAACCAGTGAAAAGAAAACCATTTTAGTTTAAAGATCCTTTCTTCCTACTTACCTAGCAAATTCAGCCAGTTGTTTGGGGTCTGAGAGGTCAATACCAGGTATTCCACCAGGAGGAAGTTTCTTCCCTGTCATGTATTCTGAGTAATCTGGAGGAGAATTCTCTCCAATGATCTGCTCTTCCACCACTGTTTCATGGTCAATATCTTTTTTATCATCTGAAATACACAAAATACTGAATTCAATACATACTAAAGATCAAAACAGCATATAAGTTATTAGGCTGCATCTCAATACAAATTCACTATTGCGGCACACCTAAAAGAATACACTGCACTTACAGATTTCCACACTAATTGTAAAGAGCAAAAAGACATCCATAGTTACAGCATGAAGAACACAGAAAGGACACAGTGGGTGAGGAAAAAAAGAGCAAAAGTCACATATCTACTTAAACACAAACAAGTAAGTAAGTAAGTAGAACAATCCTATGAATGTTGGCTGCATTTGAAAGATAGTGCACTTTTCCTGAAACAATGCCTAAATATTTATTTCCCTTAACCTCTTCAAGACTAACCTCCACCATACCCACTTCGGATCTCAACAGCAGTCAGTAACCAAGCAAGCCTATCAGAGGAGTGGCAGATACTTACCCTAAGACGTTAGGACTACTGATCTTTACTTCAGAGTCTTCAGACTTCCTTGACCTCCAACAGAAGTGTCACGGAGGAACAAGAAATTTAAAAATAACTGCTAATGGGCTTCAGCACCTGCCCATAAAATTAAAGTTTTTCAACACCTGCATACAGGTCTGAAAGAAAGCAAAAAAACTAAACAGCACGTCTCCCTCCCAAGGGGGCTTCTTCCTTCCGTGGCAGAGGCCAGCCTAAGCTCTTTCCCACCCTACTATGTAAACAGCAGATAGGGATCATTCACAGCTTTAATCTGCACGCCAGTTAAGATAACTGCTATTTTATCTGCTCTAGAGCTCCCCCTATGGATTTGTGCTCAAGGGCTGCAGTGAAATCAGGTGAAAGACCTGTTGTTGCTGTCTACTCATATTCAGACCTTATAATATGCCAAGACACAATGTTTTCTCTCTCCTCTTGCTATTTTATAACCAGAGAGACACCAAGAAGACAGAGAGTGGAAACGTCCACCTGTGTTCCTCAGTGCAATGCTCACACCAGCACCAATCCTGTTTCCCAGCCTCAAATACACATAGGACAACAGATGTATATATGGTTGTAACTACTCAGCTAAATGTTAATAAACTTGCCACTACACTACTTCTCCTACCCTGTGTATGGGGAGCAGATTCTGCAAGTCACTTTATACACAAAGAGCTTGCAAAGTCCAAGTATTTACAAAAATAACAGGAAGTTTCATTTTACACGTAGTGTTTAAGGAATGGAAATACAAGGTGGTAGGACAGAAATAGTATTTCCCCAATTTAAAAAAAAACAAACAAAAAAACCCACACCACAAGAGGAAAACGTAAGGCAGAAAACAAATGAGGCAACATTTTTCTTTTTTCTTTTTTTTTTCCTCCTAAACAGAAACATGGGAAATAACATTATTCATTACTCAGTAACTTAGGTTAGGAAAGAGAAGACAAGACATATGTAAATAAAAGAAATATACTAAGGATAAATTTCTATTCAATTTGTAATGCCTGCTTTTAATGTTTGCCACTGAGCTATTTCTAGAAATGTTACTGCTAGTTTGGGGTTTAATCTGATCTACCAGATCAAATAGCAGTTCATGTATATGTTCCACGGTGAAAGAGGAAAATAGACTCCAACACTGCAAAGACAGGAGTCTTAATAAGAAAACACTATCTGCACCATTAAACTGGGAATAGACTACAAAATTGACTATTTGGACTTTTTTTTATTCTAATCTAGTTTTCCATTCACCACACTACCTTTCAGTCTTTACCAGTGCTTTAAAGAAAGCAACTGAATTTACCTTAAGCGAGGATTATATGGTAAGTTTTACAGCACCTGCAGGAGTTACAAACCCAATTTGGCAACAATTTGTTCTTCCAAACAGAAGCTTGAGCAAAGATATTTAGTAATGCCTACACAAAGAGAAAAGACATTATGAAGCTCAGAAGAGCACAGAACTTCTGAAAAGCTGAAAGTGATGCCTTCTCCATGCTGCAGACTAGAATGAGATCAGCTGCCTTCAATGTAGCCATTTCAACAGCTACCCAGAACTTCCAGTTTGACTGTTTGATGACATTCATAACAGAAACAAGTTTTCATTTCCTGCCTCAGATCAGATGCATGAGTCAACAGAGAAATTTTGTATACATTAAGATCTTCTTTCCTTCCCTAGCATAAAGGCTCGCTATTCCACAATGCTTTCTTGCTATTGGAGGGCCAAACTGAAAGTCAGCCTTCAGTGCCTGTACTTCCCAAAAGCCTGCCATCAGAAATCAACTGCCCAGCTATTCAATTCCACAGGCTACTGGAGTAAACCAAGAAGAACTATGAATATATTGCTTTGATACAGTAGAAAATAAGAGAAAGGATCCCTTAATAATTGACAGTTATGGGAAAACAAAAAACAACCAATTTTTCCTATACCAAAAAAACCTGTATCTCTACAGCAACACATACCTGCAGTTTAAAAAACTAATTTAAACCAAAACAGACTAAACCAACAACATACAAAACATTTACCTTAAAGTGTTATGTCAGGCTAACGTCCTTCAAGATAGAAGACCTGGTTCACACCAAAAGTCAAATACTTTTTCAAATGTAGCAGCAGACTTCAGTAGCTCTTTAGTATCCAGACCATCCTAGTTACAGACTGTCCTATGACATTAACAACTCATTGGGAAAACAAAACAAAAACAACACACAAAAAACCCCACATACTTCTTTGGAAAAGTTTGGAAAAAACTTTACCAATGTCCTCCATGCACAAATTTACCACAAGTTTATTTGTGATCCCCTACCAACCTGGACTAGGCAGCTCAAAGTTTGGAGGCTGAAGTCCAAGCAAACTTTCACTCAGGCTGACAAGTTAATCGATATTCTCATTGCAAACAGGGCAAGTTGACTGCTTGATGTTTTCTGCCTTCAAGCAAGTCCTGGTGCCCACTACATCCAAATTGCTTCCCCCTTTTTCCTCTCATGAAGCATCGGAGAATCAAACATACTGCATCCAAAGCAAAGCAAAACAGAGAGACGCAACCCTTAAATTCTAGTGACACCTCTGGAGACGTACAGTGCAAATAAGGCATAGTAACTCCATGCAGTTTATGCCCATGCCAAACTAATCTGGATGCCACCCATGCAAGTTAAATACGGACAGAGCCATGGAGCCAGTCAGGAAAAGGAAATTAACTGCTATATACTATCTGATCTGCTTTGTTTTGTCCCTTAAAACCACTTGAGAGTACAGCAGACTCAAATATAAGGCATTCTGCTTAAGTGTGTATTTAGCACTATTCTTACAGATCTAACGCAGCTTTCTGTAAGGAACCTGGAACACGATTTTAGTCCCGTCTTCTGAAAGGTATTGAAGATCTGAATGCATGTCAATTAGTTAATCACTTTATCTTCACAAAAACATGCACTACCAGTCACTGCAATTAACTATGCCCAATATTAATCTATCTTATAAAGCTGTAAAATACTGATTTGTTAAGAGATACCACAGATACCCCCCAACATCCTTCTACACCCAATTACATTAAGATAGATACTTAGTCTAAATTGGGTTATTCTATGTACCTGTTTAGGACACACCCAAACAAATCTTCATGTTCAGTGTCCTTCCATCTGCACTTCTCTCATGCCCTATATACTGGCAATACACATCTCGAACTGGATTCACTTCTGCACTTCAAAGCAAGTCAAACTTTTTTTTACTAGGATCAGTGAAAGTTCAGCATTTTAGCCAGCCATATCTTTTGACTACCACTTAAAACATTTCTACTGGTGAAATAACCAGAAGTTTTAATAGTACCAAGCCCAAGTACCAATTGAAGTAGAAAGAAGACAGATTACAGGGATAAAACTAGTAACTGCAGATTCCATGTAACAGATCAATGACAAAACATGGCAGAATCTGTTTCCCAAGACTTTATTGATTACCTTTTGCTCTTATTACCACACTTCCTGTATCTCTTGCAGCCCTTCTGTTGCACAGAAAATCCATCCACCTCAGAACCCCATTATTTCATGCATTTCTAGAATAGTAGCTAGCTCCAGCTGACATCTCTGGAACTCCCCAGCTTTATAAGATGACCCCCTTGACTCTCAACCCAAGAAGCTCTGTCAGTATTTCTGCCTCAGTTATTCCTGATTTTAGCCATCATACTCCACTTCTAGATCCCTAATTCCCTGAGCCATCCTCCTCCTCCTCTATTACAGAGCAGGGAGAACACACTGTTATTCAATCAGTTTTCCCCTGTGGAAAATAAGGAGTGCAAAAGGGAACTCAGAAGGTACACTTGGTAGCAAAGCAATGACACCTAATCCTATAGCTTCCTCCCCGATGTAACAAGTTAAAAGACATTCTGCTTACCAACTAAAAGGATGAATGACATTTAAGCTTAAATTTTCTTTTTATGATCACACAGCTAAACACATTTGTTTTTAGGAACAGCTGAAATGCAATTACATGATAAAAGATGTATTCGGCAACTGTGCAGTACCAAGGCACTGTGGTAACAGCTTGGTTATTGCTACCACATTGCAATCTCTTCAGGCGAATTAGTTCATTGGTCATGTTTGGAAGCAAAGAACCATAATTAGCTTGTTAAATAATACAGTTATTTAGCAGACGCTTCGGAATGTTAAATTCCATTTTGCACAGCATGTCATTTTTTAACCTAATCGGCTGCTAGGTTACTTTGCCTCTGATGTGCCTTGCACACAGACAGAGAACAGATTCTTCTTTCCCCATGTCACCCATCTCTTATTTCACACCACTGAGACATGAACTGACAAAAACACTGCATATATCAATAGTCATCATCTGACTTCAACATTTGCGAGATGCTGTGCCGAAGCACTACGACCTTCTGAATCATCAGCACACAAGTGACATGGACCTCTCCGGGAAGGATCCAATAGCAAGTTAAAGGATTCTAGTTTGAAGGTGAGCTAAGAGGCAATTTAATTAAGACATTTTACGTGATGAACCACATTCATGTATTTCACTTTCAAAACTGCAGAGATATTTAAAACAGCTGCAGGAAAATACCTACCTTATCCTCTAAGGTTCACTGGCAAAAATGTCAGGGCAGACTCAATGCTTATGGATACCAAAAGCCTATACCGTTGTCTTAATCAGAGTCAGAAATAGATTATCACCTTAATATTTTAACGGAACCAGACAATGACTTTCTGCCTCCATTATGAAAAATTTTCATATAAGAAGCTCATTACCTATCTGTCATCGCAAAGAATTTTGGCCATCCTTGATACAGGCCCACAACTGAACTAAATGACTAGTCTATCACTTATACTATGCAAGGCAACTGGCCAGACAGCAGATGATTATTTTTCTCACCCCTGCAATCTGATAAAGTCAAATGAAAGCCCTTCTATTTTTTTAGGACATTAAAAGGTTTTTTAAGAGGTTTTGAAGAACCTTCTAGAAACCCAATATGAACCCCCTGAGTTTCCAAATATGGGTCCATAGCACATGCTTCCTGGATTATCAAGAATCATTTCCAAACCATACACCTAACTTCTGCATCTTTGTCTTCCCCATCCAGGAATAGTTTAACATCTGTGGGCAATGTTTAGTTTGGTTGTGCTATTTCAGCCCTAAGCTTGCAGACTATCTATGCTAACAGTAACAGTTTAAGCCAACACCTGTTTCAGGTTTGAAAACTTGACAGAGTCAAGAGTCATTACCTAGAAGCAGATGTAGTTACATTAATACATTTTTCCCCCCTCAAAATTAAGCCCCAGCTGCTTGAAATTCCAGCATTTGGTGGAGCCAGCATTTCAGCACCACCTTCCCAAATGCTCCTGCATCTAAGAATCAGTTTTGCAAGCACAATCTGACAAAGTGATTTCTAATGATCCTTCCCCTCCCCCATCACTATTGCGTACCCAACCTGGAGACAGTCACTAAAGAGGATGATTCAAGTTGAATCTAGCAAAGGCACAAATAAATTCCACTTCATAAAAACAAATTTTCCTAGTACAAATTGGGGTGTCTCACTTGGAGAGCACCATTAATTATATACAATTTTCTAAATCCATGTCAGGATACCCCAGTGAAAATGAGCATAGATATTAGACAGCACAGAGAAAACACACTACAGGAACATGACTAAAATATCCACCATATACACCTCTTCAACCCTTTCAGAAAACACAACGCCTTTGTTCAGTTCCTATTTTCACACGTGAAGAAAGGCAAATAAGTCCATTCTGAAGATCTGGAAAGTTAATCTGAACTAGAACAAAGCATTCCTGTTTCAAGCTAAACACTTTAATTAAAGTAATCATGGGTCACAAGTTTGATATCACCATAGATACCAAGGTGATAAGAGAAGTTATGGTAAGTCTAAACCGTTGCCAACAACAGTACTGCAACTTCTAAGTAACCACGTAACAGGACAAGGACTGAGTAGTCCCCTTTAATCACATTGCTATGTATTTCACAGATTATTTCTACACATTTCAAGAGGTGCTACCAGACATGTTATACTCATTTATGGACAATGATTTACGATTGACTAAATTTGGTACCACCCATGTACAAGCTAATATAGCAGCACCAGAAAACAGTAACAAGTAATTAATTCACATTGTCTTCCCACACTGTGGTGAGCAAAGTGCCCTTTTTCCCAATTCAAATACCCATGAACAGCAATATAGGGCTCATTGTTTTATCTTGATGCATGGGCTTATTTACTATTCATCTTTTGATAAACTTTTTGCTAAGCATTTAAACCAAACAGTCAATTACATCAGTGTGCAAGTAAGTCTTTAATTATGCCAAAATACAGAGGCAAAACTACTATCTTTGTTCAAAATAAAATATGCCTGATTCTGCAGGGAAACTTTAGTACAACTACCCTTTCGCAAGCCAGTAGTCTGTTCTGGGGTTTTGGGTGGGTTGTTTTTTTTTTTTGCTTCTTTTGGAATTTTTCTGGCAACTGTCCCCCGTCTAAAATTTCAGGAAACGGACAATGAAGCCTCAGCATTTGACCACTTCAGACCACTTCTATAACGTTCACTAAGCTGTGTAATAGGCATAAAAGCCTATCCAGTAGGCTCAGTAAAACTTCACAACACTCTTAACTGAGCAGGCTATTACCAAAGGCTGTTTGAAGCTCTGTGTGTGCGGATGCGTGCACACATGCACGCAGGGAGGGGAGGTCAAACTTTAATCTTTTCTTTCGCCTACATATTTTGTGATTTTGCTTTTGGGGGTCTTTTCTGGCATTAGAAGTCAAGTCAGAATAGGTATTCTGCATCATGGACATGATCGAGTTGAATGTAGCAATGCAATTCAATCTCCAGTAAATGACAAGTGGATATCATTCCCACTGAGCTTGCATGGTCATGCTCATAAAGAACAAAACCACTGAAATCAATAGGGCTACCCTGATGTAAAAGTTGTGTACGCGGGAAGAGAATCAAGTGCATTGATTATATGCATGCTGCACTTCAGTCAAGTAATAATCAGCATGCAGAAGCTCTAAGAAAGCATCCTATCAGGCACTCTGATTTTCAGAGTGCAAATGCATGCTAGAAATTGTCAATTGATCTCAGCGAGGTCCCGTATCCTGCCAGCTCATGAGTCATACATCCACTTGCATTCAGCTATCTTAGGTAGCTTCCACAAACCAGAAGACTGTATTAGTTTCTATTGTCTTTTTCTTTCTTGGACAGTCAGTTCTAAGAAAAAAACCCCAGCAAGTGGATTTAATTCAGGTTTCATACAATAACGCACAGAAGCATATAGAACCTCATTCTACTAAGCAGTATTTGGGAAACTCTTAAATGAAAGTTCTTTGTTCATCAAGCAGCAGGGAAATTTAATCAGACTCATTGGGCTGTCAACTGACTATATACCAGAAGTGTCATATACTCTGTCAAACTTGCTAAGTAATCACCTATATTTAAAAAGGGAGTAAAAAATCAGAATCACCATTCTTTCCATCTTTTCAGACAAGAGAATTCAGCCATTCAACACACTTTTCCTTCAACACTCCCCTTTCTAGCAACTACTGGTCATTCACAAACATCACAGACAGCAAACTTTTTAGACTACATCAGAAGCTTAAAGAGTATCTTTATCTTACTAGACTCCTTAAAAATTCAAAAGAGCACAAAAATTATCATATACAAGACAGATTACCAACCTACTATTCAAAGACTACACACCAATTTAAATATTACGTGAACTGATACTATTTGACCGCTTCTTTTCACACTTACGTAACTTTAGCACACAACTTTGACTACAGAGCCTTGCTTCCAGCAATACATTTTTTTGTAAAAAAAAAAAAAAATTAAACAAAAACCCAGTGTGCCACAAGTAACACTTTGCTGCTGACTAAAAAAAGACTCCCCCCCCACTTCAAAGGAAAGGATCAGAAAATCGTGGCAGATAAAATAAGTGGGAAGGGCAGGCGCATGTCAGGTTTATTCCAAGTCCTGCAGATACTGAACACCTCCACAAGACTTTATTCCCTTTAAGAGTCACTCCCACAAAAAAAACAACTCCTCAAAAAAACACATACAATCTCACACAACACGGACTCCCCGCGCCTATTCAAAAAGCCTATTTAAAGCTTTAGACCCAGCCGACGAAAGGCTGAACGGTCTCCGAGCGTCAACCAGAAATTGCTCCTTTCCTCCCCGCGGCTCCCCGGGACGGAAGTCTGCCTCCAGAGCCTCTCGGCTGGCAGACCCTGGCTCCTGGCAAGGGAATTTCTGAAGGGCCGGTTGCCTCCGAAGCCGGCGAGAGGCGCCGGCAGCC